GCCAGGACACGTTCCCTGCTTCCTGCTGCCTCTTCTTCCCAGGTCACTCTGATGGCAACACATCACTTAGGCAGTTTTCTTTTCATCTCTAATCTCTCTTCCAGAGTGGAGAAGGGTGAGCACAGAAGGCTAGGACCAGAATAAAGACCTCACAGAGTGCCGCAGCATCTATGCAGTCTGTGACTATTTGCAGTGAAAACCTATTAACCCAAACCAAACACACTGCCATCAAGTTGATTCTGACACATAGCCACCCCCTTTGTGTTTCCAAGTCTATACATTCTTACGGAAGCAGACCACCTCATCTCTCTTACGTGGAGCCATTGGTGGGTTCGAACTGCTGACCTTCTGGTTAGCAGCAAATGCCTTACCCACTACACCACCAGAGCACCTTAAATTATAATGCATGCAGAAATACCATCCCTGGAAGGAAACCAAAGTTATATAATTGACATACTTTCTAAAATACCAAACTAGTTAAGTCCTTCACTTCAGATGAAAGGAAATGATGGTTGGAGATTATTTTAATTCCAAATTATTGTCATTCTGGACAAATAAGAATTCTTTGGTTCAGAGCAGTCTTTTACATAGGAAGTATGTGAGCGAATCCATGTTAGCTTCAACCACATGACCACAAGAAAGGCAAAGCCAGTGCAGACTGGCTAGATGCTTCTGCCCCCAGAGTCGCATGTACGTTAAAAATCTGAGAGAACACTGTCACACACAATCAGCTTGCCTCAACACTAAGAACTTATTTTCTAAGGTGTTGGGTTTTTTTTATTTTCAATCTATTAATGTTACAGCTCACCTGTAACACAGCTATCTGACAAAAGCCTGGAGCTGAGAAGAACCTTAGCGATGGAGTTCAAATTCTTGAAGTGACTCACCCAAAGTCACCCAGTGAGTGAGGAGGGAGTAAGGCTCCTGCATGCAGATGTCTAGAGCCCCTCCCACAAGCTGCCATCTGTGGGGATGCCATGCGGTGTAGGCTAGACAGGCGCGTTTACCACAGATGTCCTAGCGGGACAAGTATTTCCAGGGATCATGCGATGGGCCAGGGGTTACAACTCGACCAGGTTTTCCTCAGCCTTGCAGATCTTTTTATGTGATGTCGTTTTTCTGGATTCCACTTCTTACGGCAGGGTGGTTCCCTTCCCTTCAAGAGGGGCCTTCTCTAGCCATCCTGACCCATTTTTATTTTAAATGTCATTTTATTTTTGAAAGTCACACAGCCATATTTTTAAGAGTCACTTAGGAAACTGTGCAGGACAGAAATAATGCTATAAAGATTGGACTGGGGCATCCCCAGCCCAGGTCTTTTAACAAGAACACACTCTATTTCCCCAGTGTCTTCACAACCTGGAGGAGGGGGTCCTGACTGGCCTCAGGGAGCATGGAGGACAGCCCACCGTGGCCTGTTGAGACTCTGTAGGAGTCTTGAGGAGGAGCAGAGCTTAGGAATCAACTCTAAGAAGATGGAGGAAGGCCTGGAGATGGGCTTGCTTAGATGGGCTCTGCTGTAGAAGGGGCTTTACTTCAGGGGTCTGTAGCGTATCCCGGTAGACAGCTGTAGTTTTATCATGGAAAACTTCAATTTGTAGAGTATCCAGATCAGATGGACAGAATCACTGGGATGTGTTCTCCTCTCATTCCTCCCAAACCAAAAAGCCAAACCCACTGCCTTCAAGTCGATTCCAACTCATAGCAACCCCCACTGGGTTTCCAAGGCTGTTCCCTTACGGAAGTAGACCTCATCTTCCTCCCATGGAGCAACTGGTGGGTTTGAACTGCTGACCTTTACATTAGCAGCAGAATGTCTTCCCCACTGCGTCACCAGAGCTCCTTCCATTCTTCCAACCTCCCCAACATAACCCCAGTGTCCAAGACTCTAGGCAACAGTGGCCCTAACATTTGCATTAAACCTGCCTGCATTTCATTTTAAATTCACACCAGTGAAAATCTTAATGAGTTTCCACAAATTCAGTACCTAATCCCAAAATTCCCAAATGGCATGAGTATGTATGTATGCTTGAATCTTAAATCAACTAAGTATTTCCTCTACATTTCACTCAGTATTTTTAAGCAGGTGTCAAGCAAAAAAGGTCAAATAGTTTTCAAGTAAGTGACGTTTATTTCGCTCTGGTATTTCACAGTCAATTTCTACAAAACTTCACACTTCTCAAAAGAATTCACATTTGGTAAATAAATGTCTACCCTACAGAATCGATGGTGGGAAAAAACACTTCAGTATATGCACAACAGTTACTTTTCTGCTGAAGGAACCACAGTAGAGAAGAAAGTATCAGACAATACCATAATCAACAAAAAGCAGTGAATGCAATAAATTACAAGTATCATTAAACTCCATCCCCATAACCAAGTCAATCGGCAGTTTTTTCTAGATGTGCTTCAACACTGCCAACAAAATCTGCCAAAAGTTCTCTTCAGGGTTGGTCTGAGCTAAGAATGGCTTCTCACTTTCAGGAAACGGTAGCTCTGCCACACAATACTTCATATCAGATCAAATCATGCATTGCCAAGACTGGTACTACTTACAGTCTTATGCAACCAATGGAGATCTCTCTGGTCAACTCTTGAGGTTCCTCCATTTGCCGATCTGGCTTCTGGCCTCAGTGGAACCCTCCTTCCAAGATCTAGTTTCTCTACTTGGCTTCATGTGCTTATAGCTGCACTAAGAAAGGAACACCCATGTTAACAGCCCGGAGCAGCTTCCAGCACCAAGCTGCAAGATCAGAGAAGAGTGGGGGGCAGTGCTGCTTCTCCCTGCCACTCAGCTGTGAGGATCGATGACAGCTTTCATCATCCTTCACTGTGACAGGAAGGAAAATGCAAACCTTAATCCAGGAAGAAGAGTCCAAGAGACTTAGAGCTCCACGGAGAGTTTTGCCAGTGGAATAAATTTGGTTCTCAGCAAGTGTTTTCAGATTTCTGACACGCAGTACGACTCATGACTGGTGCCCAGGCTGTTCTGAATGCACCTGTCTCTCCATCGCTTTGCTGCCAAACATAATCTGCCAAAAAGGAAGCTTCCCAGCACGGTGCTCAGAGTCGAGCTGCCACAGTACCACGTGATTCAGGGGAGAGGGGAATGGGCCAAGAGATAACCAGCAAGGAGCCGAGTCTGCGGAAAGACACATTTGCTCTGACTTTTACATTTCTTTCAAAAAGCAAATGGCAGGAAGTATTTCTGCCTGCTCAGAGATTTTACTGAGTTGTTTTATTTCTAAATCAGTCATATCCATTCATACATGTGTGAGAACAAAGTGTAGGCCATCTGAAATCTTGTAATTTTCAAATTATGTTAAGAGTTATCACCACCTAGTAAATATGAGGCTGTGGTGTAAACAGTTAATGCCCCAACCGTAGTTAATGCCCTCAACCGCAGTAACAGGTAGGAAGTTCAAGTCCACCCAGAGGCCTCTAGGAACAAAGGCCTGGCAATCTACTGCCAAAAAATCAGCCACGGAAATCCTTATGGAGCATAATTCTACTCTGCTACACATGGGGTCGCCAAAGACTCCATGGCAATTAGTCCAAACGGTCATTAACTTTGGGCCCTGGTAAAACTTCAAGAACATTTTCCTTGTAGGAAAGATGAAGTGAGTCACACTGAACTTACTAATTTGAAAAGTATAAAGATTTTCAAGAGGATGGATCCAATTTTTAAATGAGAGGATAAAAATAAGGTTTGAAACTCGACTACTAAGAAATCTATCTAGTTTCTCTATACACAGCGAAGCTGAAAAGCATGTGTATTTTCATCTAATCACCTGGAAATTCACTATGTTTCTAGATGAACTTGGAACAACCAACACTACCCCTCTGGCTTTGATGCCAACATCCAGCACATAAAAGGAACACAGAAGATGGTTCCCCAAAGCCCCACATCAGTCTGACACGGGACAAACGAAAACCTTGGATGGCAAAAGAAAATGAGTGAGACGAATGCCTTCCAGTTTGTTGTGGACTTCTGTATCAGAACCTTAAGGTGATTTTATTGAATTCAGAGTTTCACAAATGTAATAATCACGTCTTTCCTTTTCTTATATAAAACAGAAGGAGGGAGAAAAAAAGAGACAGCAGACTGAACTTGTACTACTCTCTCAGGAACCAATGAAACTCCCCTTAAGATTTTTAGACAAAAAACAGGTTGCACTGTTTCAAATGCAGACAAACGCATAAATCGCCAGAACCTTCCAGCACCGGACCAGAAGATGCTGGCCACGTCTACTTTCTTCAGACTCCAAGTAAAAAAAGCAATCTGTCACATGAAATTCCAGACAGTACCAAATCCATTCTTTCTGCATCTTAACAATCTGTAGTATTCTGCCTACCAGTGAAGAGAAATCTGGCTTGTGATGAAAGGGTGTGAGTCAAATGGTGCTGCCCTTCCCCTTGACTTTCAAGTTTAAGAAAACAAAGTCTTGAGTGGTTAAGCTGCTTGCACCATAGGCCCAACCTGTGCCCAAAGCATTTTAGGCTTTGCCCAACTGGCATGGCGCTTTGTGGAATGCAAACATACCAACTATTTTCCTCTGTGACTAAGACACTCGAGGGAAGATCCATAATATTAAGTCGCCTACACCCTGGCTCAACAGAGGTCCCTCTGTCTGCCCATCCACACCACTGCACCCTTCATCCAGGTAGCAGTGGGCGGTGACAGCTACAAGAGCCCCACACAGTCATCTCTCCTGCCTTGCCCTGTGATCCATCTCAGTGCCTATAGGCTAAAGACAAGGGACTCAAGGACACCCTGAGTCTGAGGCCCTCAGAGAAGTGGAGGCATGTGGAATCTGCATAGACCACAGGTTAAGACAGCAGCCAGGACCTGGCACCTGGCTGCACGGCTGCATCCATGAACTGCTGAACAGTCTAAATTTAGAAGGAAGAGCTCTCACATAAGCTTTGGGAAACAGGAGTAGATAACAGCAAAAGAGCTAAAAGAACCACTCCAGTAACGGGCAAATATGCCTTCTGTGCTATATGTCTGGGTGATCAGAGAAAGCTTCTCCATCACTGCCAGTGTGACTGGACCCAGATATTAATGATGCCTGTAGCTTGGCCCAGGCCTGAGGAGCCCTGCTCTTGGTGGCCTCTATAAACAGCTGGGTTTGCTCCTTCAGCTGGTCTAGTTCCACCTGAGTTGCTTGGTTCTGCCGAATCAACTCCTTGGTTTTCAAAGTGATCTCCAGTAAGCCGGATTTGTGCAGAACTACCAGGGTGTTCTGAAAGCGCCTGTGTTTGCTCTGCCGCTGCTCGGTAAAGACATCCGGGCTGCGGCACAGGTGCTCTGCGGCCCACAGCGGGGAGCTGTAATGAGCTGACAGTGGGGAGAGGGGCGAGCTGCTCTCTAAGCCATGCAAAGTACTGTCTGAGGCACAGACAGGACTGGCGGGGGAAGCAAAGGTCAGGCTGGGAGCCTTAGCCACGTGGCTGCTGGATACTGGCTGAAGAGTCTGTGGACTTCCACCTGCCACCAGGGAGGGCACACCCTGCAGAGCCGCGTCCTCGGCAAGTTTGGTGCTGGGTGGTGCTGGAGTCAAGGGGCTGGATGGCACATTGCCAGGCTTGGTTGGCTCACTGGAAGACATGCTCGGCCCAAGTCTCTCAGTACAGATTTTCTTCTGTAGCCCACTGTCCCCTCGTTCTTCTGGGCTGAAGGAAAGGCCCCTTTTGCCTGGATGTGGGGCTATTTTGGTGTAAGAATTTAGAATGGGCAGGTAGTTCCTAGAGTCCGACTTTTTCTCGCCAGCGTGACTTGGGCTGATGGGAGAAGGTACAGGTGGATGAAGGAACAAGAGCTGGGGCTGTGCTGAGATGACTTCAAAGGAGGGCTGGACCGTCCAGGACTGGAGCTGAGATGAGCTGCTGCCCTGAAAACAGAGGGAGAGAGCAGCACACTACTTACTACCTGCTGAAAGGACAGATGGTAGCAGCCCCTATGAAGGGGCAAGGCAGACACTCAAGGATCAGTGACAATGTCAAGCACAGAGCTGCCTTCACGTACAGGGTAGCTCTTGTCAAGAACAGGACTGGAGAACTGGCTTGAAGAGCCACTCATGTTTGACAGCACAGACTTTTTTTTAAACCTTTCCTATGGGAAAACTGGAGAAAAAATGCTATTACTCAGGAAAAGAAATTACAGCTAGCTGCAGTGATGCTTAAGTAATGACTGAGGCAGTAGAACATGGGTAGGACAACTTTCTGGCACAAGGTAAACTATGACAATCCCAAGACTAGAAATAAGACTTTACACCAAAGCCTAGCTGCATTTAGTTAACACCTGGAACCTTTTACCTGAAATCAGCTTTTGATTATAAAGTTACATATTAACAGGAATTTATGGGTCTGTTTTTAAGGCAGTAACACCCAACAATCATAAAACCATTCAAAATGATAATCAATGCCATTTGTTGGAGGCAACTATAGGCTAGCACTGTGTGATGTTCTACGTGGGTTATCTCATTCACTCCTTGTAACAAACAGCCCCATGAGGAGCTATCGCTTCCTTTCACAAACAGGAAACTGAGGCTTAGAAGTTTGAAATAAGTCGCTTTAGGTCACCAAGCTACTAAGTAATGGAGATAGGATTCTAGTCTCTCTGTGCCTAAAAATCCATCGAAACCATTCTGCTACACTGCCCTTGTTCTGTTACTCTTCAACTCTGCATTTTTAAGGTACTAATTCGGACAGAACTCTACCAAAGAAGGCCGTGATACTAGTCTTCAATATTTAAAAGCCAGTCTAGTTCCAAGCTGGGCCCAAAGGCACGTGTGCAGATGAGGCCAGGCAGAGAGCAAGCCTGACAGAGGTCCTTGTTTGTGGTGGGTCGTGGACTCATGTATCGGAAGAAAGCTGTGGACAGGTGCGTGGGCACACCATTTCACACGTTTCAGCTTCTTGGATGTCAGCGGAGAAACCTCAGGCCAACTATAATCCTCTCCCATGCAGAGGTTGAGATGGTCTGGAGAGTTCGTTCTGAACCCTCTTGGTGTCCAAATATACCCTGGGATACCCACAGGCAAGCAGTGCCAGGACCGGAAACCACCTTCCTCGTGGAAGGAGATAAAACACACCAGGGCTGTTTCAAAGGAGAGTTCAGCCTAGTTCAGTATAATCAGAAGCAAACCTTCGGGCAGCCCCCAAATCAGACTGATGTCCTATAGTGATCTACCAAGGCAGAGGGATCTAGAAAATCCCCAGTCTATACTTTCCCAAGATGATCTGACTGGATTGTTCTTCAGAAGCTATTATCATACCCACTGTCCTGATGGATACTTAGCTCATTTGTTCTCATTATTAGATTTTACGGATTGTCTTATTCATGCTGAAATCGCCTGAGGGAGTATGGAAGAGCATTGAAGACTCGGATGGGATCTTAGAATCATTTCACAAAGGACCTTCATCCTTCATGTTAACTCGTTGTGTGCAAGATCAGTCTAGTGACCGAACTGGAATCACACCTTCAAAGGAAAAATATCTAAAACCAAGGAGCAGTGAGCAAGACAGCACAGAAGACGCAGAGTTTAAAAAGTGCATTACTATTTTAGTCTTAGAATGTGCTGAATTCTACCACGTTAAAAAACAAAAGAAAATAAACCCTAGACTATTCCATCCGGTCAGCCGGTGGCCTAGCTTCCTGATGAAACCAGCAGCCTTCCTGGCCGGCCTCTTGTTGGGAAGAATGAGGCTCTGCTGGAGAAGCCTACTTCCTCCTTAACTGTGGGCTGTCTCAGCCTCCTGGAGCTGGCCTTCTAGCCAACAATAAGAAGGGATGTAAACCTGGACACCCATAAGGAGGGACAAGGGAGACGGAGAGAAAGGCAGGGAGAGCAAGAGCCTGGAGGAAGGAAGCTGGGAGAAGCTGCTGCCACAGCCCTGGAGGCAGGACAATCTCATTCGGCTCCGTTTCCTGTCTTTATTCTCCCCTTTCATTTCAATGAAAGGAGCTGTGCTTCCAGCTGAGCTGTCATTTGCCAAGCAAAAACCTCCAAATACCTTTTCCTAACTAGTTTCTAATCAGCTTGTGGTCCTCAGAATTAACTGGTAACAGTAAGAAGTGAATGCGTTTCCTGTAGGACTACAGCCATGTTCCTCAAACCTTTGTATGTGCAGTGGGAGGGTCAACTACAGAAAGCCAGATCTCGATTTTCACGATGGTCAAGCAGCCTCATCAGTGGACCCATGTGAGAACTGAGGTATATTCTCAGAGTAAAACAGGGTACATGAAACGCCCTTTGGTTTATGTCAGTCTTTTCTGTTCTTCAGACTTCTCTATTCTAACTGAACCAAGTTCACAGGATTGAGTTCTCAGTTTCAAACCCTGGAGCTCAGCTTAGATTTTCCTATAAATCTCTCCTTTCTTTCCTATCTAGACAATAATCGCAGAATATGTGAGTTATGTAATAAAGCCTGGAATATGATATTTTTCAACTCTGCGAGAGTGCTGTGTGGAATCTGCTGGTAAAGTCAGACCTAAACCAAAGAGCCTTATCACTCAGGGCATGGCTTTGGCTGATTACTAAGAAAATGCTCACAATGTGACATAAGAATATGGAAACTGCCTCTACCTCTGAAACAAATACACGCATCCAACATTTCCAAATTCTTAGGGCTAGCCACGCTAGAACGAGATTCTGTGCTTCTGCCCAACTCTGGTACTACTGAAGTGACATTTCTGCTGGGTCCCTTTACATATGACTAAAGCATTTTGGGGTCTCTTTGGACAAACAATGAATACAGAGATAGGGTAGTCTAGTCTCAACAACGAGAACACCCGTCACGATTCTCGTATTCACTTCTAAGGCAATGCTAGCAGGTGAAGGTAACATCCTCCTCCCAGGACAGAGAGTCCCTATCAGTGTGGCTCTAGTGGTCTTTTCTAAAATCTGTCATTGGCAAAGGAGAGCCTTTTCATAAGGAAAGCCCAGAAACTTCACTTGGCAAAGCCTTTAGGTCCTCCTTACCTGTTTGACCAGCACATTCTTCATGACGACCATGGGGGACAGGGTTGGGAAAGTATTGTTTGCAGTCTTGGAGCTCTGCCTCAGCCTGTCTTCTTGGCTCCAGCCTAAGGCACTCAGCATGTCCTCGGACTCCATCTGCTCCGCAGAGCTCAGGCATTCCGAACTCCCATCTGGTGGACAGAAGAGTGGTCAGTTCATTTAGGCCTCAGAGTAGGAGCTCTTAACCCAGCTCCCAGGGAGCTGTGAACCCCTTGAAACTGAATGCAACATTTGTGATATGTTTTTGAGAGTTTTTCTGAGGAAAGGGTCTGTACCTTTCAGCAGATTCTCAACAGGATCCATAACCCTCCCCTGATGCCAAAAGATAAGCAATCCCTGCCCTAGGACAGACTGACTTCCTTTCTAATGCTCTTGCAGACAAAAGCCTGTGTCAGTGAGGGTTCATGGGAAAGCACTCATCACCAAAGTCTACCAGAGAAATGGGTTGAAGGCTTCAAGTTAGTTCACTCCTTTAAAAAATCTGTTATTCATGGGGAAGGGAAGTGTGTGACCTAGGGCAAGCTTAAGACCTTCAGAAGCTCTGGGTACCACAGATATAATTATGATAATATAAACAAAAGCAATCTGTAAGCCTCTGATTTTATACCCATGCTGAAATTAAAATGGCTTCTTCCTAAATTTTCTAATTGTAAAATCCTGAATAAGGTCATCAAAGCTGAAGTCCACAATCTACCTTTCTTTGTCTCTCCCCCTCCACCCCATCCTTGGAAGTAGTCTTTCCTTGGTGTCCTGAGTCCTGCTGAGGGAGCCTGCTGGGGATCCTAGAGCAAGGTTCTCTCCAGGAACTCTAAGGGGAAAAAAGGACGGCTGCCCTATGCAAAATCCATGCAAAAAGGACAATTAGCTACCTGCTGGAGTAAACCAAGAGGCTGCAGTAAAAGAGCTGCTGAGGAGTCTGGAAATATCCTACATGCTCAACAACAATCTCCAGGCAGGACTGGAAAGTGACTGTCAACACCTGCATTTTCCCCAACTTGGAGGACAACTCTATAACCAGAGGATACTCACCAATAGAGTAACAATTCGGAATCTCCAGTGAAGCTTCTTAAAAGTTAGGAATATTGGGGCCCTCTTCTCCATCTACTGTATTTATCTACCAGAGGAGTGGTGGTTAAGCATGGGTATTTTTACAAAGCACCACAGTACCAAATGTGTTCATCAAGTGAAGGGCCACTGGGGCAGATACAATAGGCCCCAAACCAATATGCATACCTGGTACCTGGATCTTGGTTTCTAAATAACATTCTGCGAAAAAAAAGGAAACCAGGTGCCTTAGAGACCAGGCTCATCCCGAGTCTCCAGCAGGGAAGGTACATTGTGTTGTCCCAGACAACAAGAAAGGGCTGAAACACTGATGATAACATGCCCAAAAGACACAGGATCTAGCTGAAAGGGACTTCCACTGGCCAAACTTGGGACTTTGAATACCAACAAGAATAATGATTGACAAAGTGAATTATGCACTTGACTGCTAACCAGAAGGCTGGCAGTTCAAATCCAACAGCCACTCCTCAGAAGGAAAACGGGGCAATCTACTTCCATAGTGATACTGCCTCGGAAACCCAAGGAGGGGTTGCTACGAGTTGGGCCCGACTCGACGGCACAGAACAATGACAACAACAACAACAACATGAATACCTAACGATCCTCAGAAAAGGGAGAGGGGGTTAAAAACACTTCTTTACAGAATAATGACAGCTAAGGAATGTGTAGGAATGAAAGAATTAGAAAATCATCATTTTCTAACCAATAATATAGTAATTGATTCAGGCAAGGATCATCAGAAGATGGAGGTTAGAAACACCAGAGGGGAGAGTTTGTTGGAGAATAGAATAGTCACACTATCTCAAAGTATCATCCCATAAAGAGAAAACCAAACCAAAACCAAACCCACTGCCACTGAGTTGATTCTGACTCATAGTGACCCTATAGGACAGAGCAAAATTGCCCTATCTATAGACTGTAAATCTTTACAGAAGAACATCTGCCTCATATTTCTCCCACAGAGCGGCTGGTGGGTTCAAACTGCCAACTTCTGCTTAGCAGTCGAATTGCTTAATCACTGCACCACCAGAGCTCCTTCAAACTGAAAAGGGGATTTTTAAATAAAGACATCAGGCACACACTACCTTAATCTAGTGATCCACTGGAACATAACCAAGAATAAGACCAACTTTTGATTCTCCCTATGGGAAGGATACAGCATCAACAACGTATTTTTGTCAAAATGTTTATCCTGATCCGCAGTGTAGTAAATTACTTAGTATGGCTTTTCTACCCGTAAGTCATTGTAAACTCAGTGGTGGAATGAGCAACTGAGGAGGTCCTGATTGTAAATGTTATCTACCTGGGCTTTTCCGTTGGGCATGGCACAATGCAATGTTATGGGAGGCTCACTCTCAGGTGCTTAGAATTCTGTTGTTATGATTGGTTGGTTTGGCCACTCTGCCAAGCTCAAAAGGAGGCCTCCTAGAGGCAGAAGTCTCTGTCTCTGACTGCTGGTTGAGGAAGATGTGCTGCTGAAAGAGACACAGGCTCCTGAGACACGTGTTGCTGGGAAAGAGACGCAAGAGACAGGCATTGCTGAGTGAGACACCGAGGAACCAGCACTGCTGGGAAAGAGACTGTGAGAGACTGTTGGCCAAGGGACGGTGGGCTGGGAGAGAGACTGAGCATTTTTTCCTGAACCTAAATTATAGCCTGTTACTTCCCTAATAAACCCCAAAATCATGAGTAATGTCTGTGAGTTCTGTGTGGCCACTGCAATGAATTATCAAACCCAGGAGAGAGGTGGTGGTGCTTTGGGGGAACGGTTGGTGAAAGGGCTGGAGGGAGGCAGCATGTCTGGCCTTGCAGTAATAGTCCTTGTGCTATTGATGGTGATTCTGCCTTCCTCTTGTGGGATTAGAGGAGGTCAGAACATGCGGCCTCCTTGCCGTTTTTGCATGATCCTAATAATGAGGAAACTAACCATACTGTAAGACATTGTATTAAACAACTGGGCTAACTCATGCAGAGATGTCAGTGTTCTGGGAGAAAAAGGAAGAAAAGATGGGGAACGATTCTACGTGAATAAGACTGAAAAGACAGGAAAGCTAAATACAAAGTACAATCCTCACTGGGTCCTGGATCCAAGACAAACAGAAAGACAAGCAGCTACTGTTTGTAACTCCTGGAACAATGGGGAAGTTCTGAATATGGGTAACTGCAATGATAACTATATCAATGTTAAATTTCTTGGGTATGCAAATGACATTATAGTTATATGGAAGAATGTTCTTGTTTAGGGAGACACATGCTGAGGGTCAAAGTAAGCACCTTACTTTCAAATGAGTCAGCCAACATATAAATATACCCACTCCTCACTCAGCAACTTGGTTAGGTTCCAAAGACCAGGTCGTGATGTGAAAACTGGCATTATGCAATAATGGAGGACGACTACATCAGATCACAAAATGGAGGATGACTATACATACAGAACTGCCACATTACATCATTATGTAATTACCAAACCACTAAGAATTATGGCCCAACCAAGGTGACACACAGTCTTAAACCATCACCACAGTCTTAAACCATCACAGCCAGCGTCACTCTCACCTCACACCTCAGCACTCGCTATTGCCAGAGGTGTGCCATTAATACACAAAATAGTTGGAGAGAATTTTTTTACTCTTGTAAATGCAAAGTGTCAGATAACAAGAGAGCTGATAAGTGAGAAATAGGTATATATATATATATATATATATATATATAGTGGGTGTATATAGAGATAAATATGGCAAAGTAATAAAACCAGTGGCTCTGAACAGTATCTGGGACATTCATCAATTTTCTATAGATTTCAAAATTTTCAAAATAAAAGGCTGAGAAAATAATTAAAATGGGGGGGACCTAACTTGATTTTGCAAATTTCATCACACCCCAAGTAACTGGCACAATAGATAACTCGGGCAGTTATGAAATCACTGGCCCCTGTCCCACAAGTGGCTAGAGGCATTCACAGAGGCCACTTTCTGGGACATAATGAGTTCTGATTATTTTTAATACCACCCTCTATTTGAATAGTACAAAATTTTTTAAAGCACTTCTACAAAGAGGATGAGGAAACTATCAGAAATATCTGGACTATATTACACTCCACAAAGTCTCAAAACTGCTAGGAGAAGTAACAATGTCAATAGTATTAGGAATAATGGACAACAGAATGATTAATTTTTATTTTTTTCCTTGTATTTTTAAGATTTCAAAGTTTCTACAATGCATGCACACACAGCCTCCATAATACGAAGGACAGACAAAAACAAACTTGCTATTAAAAGGAAGGGGGGGGTGGGCAGGCCTGCAATGTTTCTCGAACCTGCCTAATCCTATAAATCACCAAAGACATGTCTACTGAGTCCAGACTCCAGGTCCTCCTTCAGACCTCCTCTGTCAGAACCTCCAGGGGAGGGGCCTGGTGATGGAAGGTTTAACAAATGCCTCGGATGCACCTAATGATGAGGCAACTTTGGGAAGCCACGCTAAGAGACAGAGAAGGAAACCCCCAGGGTTACAGGCTGGCCTGCCCCTCCCAGGGCTATCCTGACACTGGGCAGGCGCAACTAACTCCTCTTATTCTAATCCCTTGGTTGGTGCTCTGTTCCTCTCTGAGCTGCAGTCTGTTTATAATTAGGCTTCTCACGCAGCACTTATATGGGGAGAAGATATACCTACCCAAGGGCAAGAGAGAGCTAGTTCTCCTGACAGCCACCTTTCTCGCTATACATTAATAAATCAACAAGATTGATAGCGTATGCTCTGTGACCTTGGATAATATAAATTTCCACTCTCAGGAAGCTGACCCAGTCAGAATTCCCTGGCATCACTCCTCTGCATTCCCAGGGCCAAAACTGTTGACACTAGAACCATACTGAAACCACTATCCCGAGACCTAGAAATAAAAGACAGTCTCAGCACAAAATGAAAAGGTTCACTGGGGATGCATCTAGCTCATCCAGATCAGGTTCAAGACCAAGCAGGAAACAAAATTATTCTACTCTGATCTCAGACACTCAAGTTTGGAACTGGGCCAGGTGGCTCTTAGTCCAAATACAAAATACATGGACACCAGTGGGATGGCAGTGTGCAGGAAAGGATGTTTAAACTCAGCAAAATTTACTTTTTAAGCAAAAAAAGTTTTCTTAACAAATTACATACTGCTTTTGGTTTACTGACCGCCTTCAGATCTGTTATATGGTGACATGTGTAGCATTTTTTTTTCCTGCAATGTGACTATTCCAAAGACGAAGGAGCTAAGACAACGGAGTGACGTCTTAGTTCTCCAGTGCTGCTGTAACAGAAGCACCACAAGTGGATGGCTTTAACCAACAAAGTTATGTTCTCATAATTTAGGCTAGAAGTTCAAATTAGAGTGATGGCTCGAGGGGAAGTCTGTCTCTCTCTGGGCAGTCTTGGCTCTGGGGGAAGGTCCGTGTCTCTTCACCTTGCTTCCTGGTTCCTTGGAGGTCTCCGTGGAGCTTGGCATCCATCCTGCCCCACCTCCGCTTCTCTCCTTGCTCATTTAATCTTATATTTATATCTCAAAAGAGAGGACTCAAGACACACCCTACACTAATCCTGCCTCATTAACATAACAAAGCCAGCCCATTCCCAAAGGGGATTATACCACAGGCATGTTGTTGTTATTTGCCATCCAGTCTGCCCCACTCATAGCGACCCCTCCTTGGGTTTCCGAGGCAGTATCACTACGGAAGTAGGAATGCCCAACCTTCCTTCCGAGGAGTGGCTGGTGGGTTTGAACCGCCAGCCTTCTGGTTAGCAGTCAAGTGCCTTAGGCATTATGCTACCAGAGCTCCTATACCACAGGCATAGAGACTAGCATTTAGAATACATATTTTGAGGGGACACAATTCAATCCATAACAGAGTATTAAATTTTTCCCCAGTAACCACTTGCAATAGTTGTAAAGTGTAAAATTGAAAGTTAAGAATCTGAGTTGAGAAAAGATGTCAAATTATTCTTTCAGAATTAGCCCCGTGGTACTCTGACCAGTACCCTGCCCCATGACATCAGAATGATCATTTTATAGACCAGCTAGACTGTTATTCATCCGGTGTGGGAAAGCTTCCCATACTTGTCACACAAGCGAGATTTGAGGAGGAAATGTTTCAGGCAAACCATTCATCACAACATAGAAAGGATAAGGTATTTTTAACCTGAAAATCCCGAGTCCTTATCTGACTCAGCAGTGGCCATGCTGAGTTGACGAGCCACCTTCTTCATCTCTGTCCCTTTGCCTAATTTGGCCAGGAGTCTCCTGGGGCTCTCCCTGGTTGGGTTTTTCCTCTCCATGTCTTACTGGGCTGGAAGCAGAGTCATCGATGCTCTTTTCACCTGGATTGCTGTGGAAACAACAATTACATCAGAAGCCGTGGCCTGGGGAGCTGAAACAGGTGATCCAAATGGTGAGGAGCACAGGAAGGGCAAAGGAGGCTGGCCTTGCCACTTCAGCTGTGTTTTCTCAGAGGTCTCAACTGACAAAGGCTTCAAGTTTACTACACAGCAGAATGGTTTCCATCCAAAAGCAGACTCACAGTTCTCTCGTTGCCCCGATTCCATTACGAATTCAAGGCACACAAACCGCATTCAGTGGAAGCTTTGTAAACTGCTAACAAAGGCACATTTTATTAGGCTTTCTGGAATGGGTAACCAACTGACCCGCCTCTCTAAAGAGAGCAGCCGTGATGCAGACAGACAAGACTTGCTTTCCGGTATACATTTGCAGGCTCATGACCCACTGCCACCTCCCACAGTGTAGAGTTTCTCCATTAATCTCTCACTTCTCTGGATGAAGGGAGCTCTGGTAGCATAGTGCCTAAGGCATTTGACTGCTAACCAGAAGGCTGGCGGTTCAAACCCACCAGCCACTCCCTGGAAGGAAGGTTGGGCAATCTACTTCTGTAGTGATACTGCCTCGGAAATCCAAGGAGAGGTCGCTGTGAGTGGGTTCGACTTGATGGCAGTGAGTTTGGTTTTTTGAATTTCTCTGGATGAGGTAATGAACAGAGTAAAAACAACTCCTTGTATATATGCTACTTTTTGGCTTAAAAAACTTTTATGTATAAATAAGATCATACATAAGTAAGTGCTCTGATTAGACAAAAATGAGTTTACAACACTATTGCTAATGTTCTCTCATTTAAGCCTCACACTGACCTCCTTAGTTGCTGTTCCACTTTACAGAGGAGGAAGCTGAGGCACCGATAAGCACATTCAGTCATTTAAGAATATTTATCAAGTACTCACTATGTACCAGGCATGGTGCTAGGACTGCAGAAGAGAGTGAATGGAACAGACACGGTCCCTGCCTTCCTGGAGCTTACAATCTAGGGAGACAGATGTTAAGCAAGTTATCATACACCTAACTGATGACAATTTTGGTAAGAGCTATATAGGAGAGGGGTCAATAATCTGGGAAGATCTGGGAAGGGAAGGTTTTCCTGAAGAAAGGATGGGTACCGAGGCCCTGCAAGAGGTTAGTAGGAGTTAGCCAGGTGAAGGAGGATGACTGGGGCATGATATACTCCAGGGCACTATGGAGGCCCTAAGGGAGAAAGGAGCTTGGCATATTCAAAGAGCTGAAAGGCCAGGGGAACTACAGTACAGTGCAGAGGAGCTGAACACTATGTATGGACACTGGAGAGGGAGGCGGGGAACATACAAGCAGTGCCTTGTAGCCCACGTTAAAGACTCTGGATATTAATTTAAAAGCAGTGAAAAGCCATGGAAGGATTTAAATCAGAAGAGTGACATGATCAGATTTGCACTTTAGGAGTATTTTGGATGCTGGGTAGACACAGTTGGAGAGCCGCTACAATGGCACTGAGGTCATTTGGATGCTACCACAGGTTAGGTGGTAGCAGTAGAGATGAAGAGAAACGAACACATCGGAGATACATTTAGGAGGCTGACTTGATGGAATTTGGTTACTGTATGTGGGAGGTCGTTTTTTAAGCTAAGGATTCAAGAAGAACTCAGAAGGAGGTTGGATGGGGTGGGGCAGGGTGAGGTGCCTGGAGTTTAGTTTTGACCACAGGAAGTCTGAAATGACTGTGGGTCATCCAAATGGACCAGGAAAGAAGCCTAGATTTGCCCCCAGTGGGACACAGCCAGCCCACAGCAGAGCCTGAGCTGACTAGCAGTGCGAAGGATGAGACAGACTAGTTGAAGGGCTGGCAGGGGCCGAAGACACTGCAGGTGCTTTAACTCAAGGCTGCTTGAGTTACCAAGGAATGGCAGCTGTAGGGCTGGCATGAAAAGAACACAATGGATACCGCTAGGATAGAGAGAATAGGAGCCAACAGGGAAAACGACAATAATGAAACTGGGTAGGTGTAAGCAAAGCCTGGTGATGCTTAATTCACAGTGCACTTGTGACTCCATCCTTTTCTCTTTGGAGTGGGCAGAAACATGAGTCCCCTGCCAAATTGAGATGCCTACAATGCCAAGCCTGAACATTTCGGCTGATACAGGACCTAGCGGGGAACATCAACTACTTGAGAAACAGAGGAAGGATTCAAATTAAGCAGCACAAGAATGATCAGGCGCATCCCTAGTCAAACTTTTGTACCAAACTGGAGGAATGGACTGGTCTAATGAGAATAAATTTTAAATACAATTTCAAGTAAAAATTCTTTTGTACCATAGCTAACTCATTTAAGGGGACTGGCTTCCTTATTCATGTCAAAACATCAAGGACTCTTTGAGAGGTCACATGTCTAATCCCAGGGGCCTAAAAGACAGACAACAGGGCTGTCACATCTTGCAGAATACTGAGCAAAAGCCACGTCTGTCTACTTGACAGCTACGAAATGGCGGACCCAGTTTCAAAAAGGAGACTGAAATATAAAACTGTATCTTTAATTAAATCAGGATCCTTTAAAGTGAAATGCAAAAACTGTGCATAGTTTAATTTTCGTGCAAATAATACTGTCTGTCCATAGTGGAATGGAGGCATGTTCCAAATGGAAGTCGATGTGGCTTGTGAATGGCATGCATTTAAGCCTGACCACGCTGCTGATTGAGATTAGGAAGGTAGTTCACATGAGTTGCAATGAATTAAGACCACAACCAAGTTTTACATGGTCTTACTAAACACAATTATTTCCCAGATATTTTAGCAGAAGCATCCCAATTTAGTCTTCTATAGTCCATGTAACAAAGCAATGAAAAAGATCTTATTAAAGGAGTTCCTGGGTGGTACAAAAAGAACAGTAGTGCTGAGTGGCTTAGTGCTCAGCTAAAGGTCAGTGGTTCCAACTCACTAGCAGCTCTGGCACAGACAGATGAGGCAGTCCATTTCCATAAAGGTTACAGCCTTGGAAACCCTGTGGGCAGTGCTAGTCTGTCCTGTAGGGTTGCTATGAGTTGGATTTGATTTGACAGCAGTGGGTTTTGGTTTGGAGTGGTGCAACCAACCAAACAACTGGAGGTTCAAGTCTACCCAAAGGTGCCTGAGAAGACCCAATGATTTGTTTCTGAAAAATCAGCCATTAAACCCTATGGAGCACAGCTCTGTTCTGACGCACAAGGAGTTAGTTGCCGTGAGGTAGAGTCGACTCGATGGTACCCGGTTTTTGCTATTATTAAAGCGTAGTGAACAGAGCTACAGAAAATACACAGGGATTCCTTCTGGCTCATGGAGAATTTTGGACAATACTGATTGTGGAAACAAAATTCCAAAATGTTGGCAAACAGGTTACAAGGAGAAAAGGATGCTAAAATTTTAGATCCTGGGGAATGGGCAGTAGTTGGAAGTAACGCGTGATCTATTTTAAGGTGGTAAATTGGCTATCTTGGATGTGAAAGTGGTAAAAATATGAAAGGCTCTGAGTAAAGTTTCGTTTGAACAGCAGAAATCCTGAATGTCCCAGAGATTCAGGTGGAGTGGGAACGAAGGGCTGCGTCCCACCTTGACCTTTCTTCTGAGAGGAGGGCTCTCTCTGAGGAGTGGCTCTGAGGAGGCCAATTAGCCAGTGAACCACAGACCCACTCAGTCAACGCACCAAATGAGGCCCTCACACATGGTGATGGCATTTACTCTCAGCGCATTCAAACCCAGAGCTGTGCAAATGGCAGAGTCCGAAAACCTCAAGAAGTTGCTTGACTTTCTCCCTCTTCAGTGTTATTTTACAAGTTAGATGTTCACAAGCTGACTAGGAGTTGAAAACGGGTACTGAGCTCAGACACTCTGTCACCTCTGCGTTTCTGGCACAGACTAGAAGCCACTAACACTGCTTTACAAACACCTCAGCACCTCATGTCTAACTCTGCCTGAGAAGGACTCCAATTTAAACTCCGAAAACTGTCAGGGTGGAACTGGGACTCTCATTAAGTGTACATGTGACATCTGTCCAAAAGTTCCCCAGAGAGCACAGAATGCAATACATTTCATAATTTAATAAATTTATAGGTTTGTCTAAATAAATGTAAGACAAAATTTTAACCAAAAGTCTCTAATTAAGAAGTATAATTTTAAGAGCTTCATAGGCTTCATAGAACTTGGTTCTTCTCCTTTTACTCTTCACATCAGAGTCTAATTGTTTGTCTCCTCAACCACAAAGGCTGTCTTTTCATCTGTGCAACCTCAGCCTTCAACAACCAACAGGCCTACGAGACATGTGAGGTACAGACTGACACATTCCACCAACTATGCCACCCTGCTGGGTCTCTCTGACAACCCTAGCAGCTTAGCTGTCACCAAAATACCCCATCAGCTTGAAGGGCAGGATTCTGCATTTCCAAACACCATGGTCATCTCCACAACTACAGACACCTAATCTGCCCCTTAGTTTAAAATGAAATCCCTCCTACACTAACCAAGTTAAAGGGAGCTACACTACCTCTAACCCACAAACAGTCTCTGGAGATTTGGGTTCAAGATAAAAAGGAGACCCAAGGGTTACAAGAAAAGGATCTGAAATGCTGTTCTCAGACCTTTCCTTTTATAGACATCTGGCAACTTTCCCAAGAGCTCAGGTTCCCTTTAAACTGTGTCACGTGTATAACATGCGTGCACAGACGGAGGTGTGAGGTTAAAGCCCAACTAGAGGGTTACAGGCAATAAAGTGACAAGGCCACAGAAAATAAAGACCTTATCACCCAGAAAACCATGGATAATCTCAGTTAGAATTACAAATACATTACTAGGTTTTCCCTGAAGTCATTTTCTCTTGGTCCACATATTCAGAGGAACCATTCTGAAGGGGAAAAACCATCTATCTAAATCCCATTTTCATTCTCCAATTTGGCTGCTAATTCATGTCACAGATCCTGAATCCAATTTCCTACAT